GCCAAGGCAGGTAGATCACTTGAGGTCACGAGTTTGAGACCAACCTGGGCAACATGGCGAAACCCTGCCTCTACTAAAAATACAAAAAAATTAGCGGGGTGTGGTGGTGTGTGCCTGTAGTTCCAGCTACCCGGGAGGCGGAGGTGGGGGGATCATCTGAGTCTGGGAGGTTGAGGCTGCAGTGAGCTATGATCGCACCACTGCACTCCAGCCTGGGCAACAGAGCTAGACCTTGTCCAAAAAAAAAAAAAGTAGTGAAAAACAACTGCCAAGGTCAGACTCGGCGGTAGCTCACGTCTGTAATCCCAGCACCTTGGGAGGCCTGAGGTCAAGAGTTCAAGACCATCCCGGCCAACATGGTGAACCCCTGTCTCTACTAAAAATAAAAAAATTAGCCGGGTGTGATGGCAGGTGCCTGTAATCCCAGCTACTCAGGCGGCTGAGGCAAGAGAATCGCTTGAACCTAGGAGGTGGAAGTTGCAGTGAGTTGAGATCACCCCACTGCACTCCAGCCTGGGCAACAGAGCGAGACTCCATCTGAAAAAAAAGAAAAAGAAAAACTACTGCCACAAGGAAACCAGGTCTCACTGTGCAGGGACAACTGACCACCACGTCCTGCCTGAGGGTCTGGGGCTTCCCCAGAACCACGACACCACCAGCAGTGGGTGGGGGAAGGCTCCGGGACACCAGCCCATACCACCCATGTGGACAGAGCCCAGGCCTGCACCTACTGCCCCTAGTCACACAGGAGTTACTGACACGGCGGCCGTGTCCCAGCCTCCTCTTGCCCAGTGTGTCAGCCAGCAGGGCAGGACGGGACGCAGCACGCCATGCCCAGGGCGGCCCACCCTACCTTCTTTTAACAAGTCGGTGATGTCTGCCTGGTACCGGTTTCCTACTCGAATCTCTCCTTTATCTGCCAGCAGGGTCTTCTGCTGTGGGTCGTAGACTAGAGAATAGAAGAAGAAATCCTGGAAAACACCACAGGAGACAGAGAGGCGTTAGCACGGCTGGGCTGCCGGGAGGGTCAGAGAGGCGTCAGCACGGCCAGACTGCTGGGAGGGTCTTGCCCAGAGCGCCTGCAGGGTGACACAGGTGCCGGAGGGAGGGCACAGGAGCCCCCACAGCTCCCGGCCATGCCCGGGAGGAGCCTACAGCGGGGCCTCGAGGGTCACTGGGGGATGCACCTGCCCCATGACCCTGGCCGGAGGAGACATGCTGAGGGTCAGCAGGGGCGGGGCCTCTGAGCAGCTACAGGGGCGGGGCCAGGCTCCACAAGCCCTTACCAAGGCAGGGTGGATACGACTGCAGCCCAAAAACCATGACTTATTTGCCTTTTTTTTCTTTTTTTGAGGCGGAGTTTCGCTCTTGTTGCCCAGGCTAGAGTGCGATGGCGCGATCTCGGCTCACTGCAACTTCCGCGTCCTGGGTTCAAGCAATTCTCCTGCCTCAGCCTTCCAAGTAGCTGGGATTACAGGCACCCGCCACCACACTCGGTTAATGTTTTGTATTTTCAGTAGAAACACGGTTTCACCATGTTGGTCAGGCTGGTCTCAAACTCCTGAGCTCAGGTGATCCACCTGCCTCGGCCTCCCAAAGTGCTGGGATTACAGGCGTGAGGCACCGTGCCGGGCTCCCTCTCACCTATTCTGAAAGTTACTCTGCGTTTTTTCTTTCAAGAGCTACCTTTAAAGTCCAGCATGACACCTGTTCCATGTGTGACCATGAGCCATGCTGCAGCAGGGCCTTCATCCTCTTGAACTGACACGACTATCCAGAGGCCAGCTGCCAGGCTCAGCCTCAGCTCCTACTCTGCCTGGATCATTTTTTTTTTTTTTTTTTTGGAGACAAGGTCTTGTTCTGTCACCCAAGCTGGAGTACAGTGGTGCGATCTTGACTCACTGCAGCCGCCACCTCTTGACTCAAGCAATCCTCCCACCTCAGCCTCCTGAGTAGCTGGGACAACAGTCAGTGCGCACCACCACGCCTGGCTAATTTTTTTTACTTTTGTAGAGTTAAGGTCTCACTATGATGCCCAGGCTGCTCTGGAACTCCTGAGCTCAAGTGATTCCCCTGGCCTTGGACTCCCAAAGTGCTGGGATTATAGGCATGAGCCACTGCGCCCGGCCTATTTCTTTAAATTAATAAACACACATGGTTTCTATTTGGTGCCGGACTGCTCCACCGGCCAGGGCCTGGGTGTGTCTGTGACCGCTGTGTGATGTTTCTGCACTCCTGCTTATCTGTGACGTGAGTCTGTGTTCGTCAGGACTTCATCAGTGAGGGTTGTTTGAGGCGAGGCAGGGGCACAATCCCCCAGGGCTCAGTGGCGCAAGCTTCTGCCGGGTGCTAAGTGTACTCACCCTGAGCCTGTTACATTAAATTCCCACGCTGGGGCTGTTCAGAAACCCCAGGTAAGAAAAAAGAGGTAAGTGGCCGGGCGCAGAGGCTCACACCTGTAATCCCAGCACTGTGGGAGGGATTACACCTGAGGCGGGATGATCACCTGAGGTCAGTTCGAGACCAGCCTGGTTAACGTGGTGAAACCCCGTTTCTACTAAAAATTAGCCAGATGTGGTGACGCACGCCTGTCATCCCAGCTACTCGTGAGGCTGAGGCAGGAGAATCGCCTGAACCCAGGAGGCTGAGGTTGCAGTGAGCTGAGATCGCACCATTGCACTCCAGCCTGGGCAACAAGAGCGAAAATCTGTCTCAATAAAAAAGAAAGAAAGTGAAGGCGGGGAAAGGCTGCATCGTGCAGCAGGAGGGTTTCGGGGTGCCTGAGCAGCCTGCTTTGTCCCCTCGTGAGCGTCGACCTGGCCGTTTCTAGGGCTGATGCGGTGCATACAGGCTTGTCACTGCACCTGCTGCTTCCTCACAGGCCTTTCTTGCTAACACACATTTTCTGTGTTCACAGAGACATTTCTGCAGCCTCACCCTCTCTGTGTGGCTCTGTCAGTAAGGGCACTCCTCCTTCCTGAGCGGGGCATTCACGGCGACCCCACAGCCTCTGCTCATGCCCAGCAGGTTGCGGCTCAGCCTTCTGGGAAGCTGGTCTGGCAGCCTGAGAGGGTTCGAGCCCAGCCCATGCTCCAGGCATGTGTTACAACCCCGGGCCGAGCCCTGCCTGCTCTTCTCTGCCTGCTCATGACTCTGAGCTAAGGCCTGGGGCACGACCACAGCCCGAGCTGAGCCACTTCATGCCTGTTTCCAGGCTGTGTGGTGGGAATGGGGACTGGGGCCACAGGGGTAGTATAGGACTGAGCTTGGGACACACCGTGGCCATCCTGGATCCTTCAGAGCCCACGCCAGAGCGCCGATGGCCACGGCAGAGATGAGCCCCCTAGGACAGGGAGGGTAGGGCCTCATCCAGCAACCTGCATCTGGGCTGGCTGGACACACTGGGGGTGTTCAGGCCACAAGACTCCAGCCAGGTGGCAGCAGAGCCTGTGAGAGGCCAAGCCCCAGGCCTGGAGATGGGCCTGCCCCTTGGGCAGGTGTGCCCTGCAACTATGACAGGCACTCCAGAGAACCAACACGCTCCAGACGTTTTTGGCCCCACGTGGCCTCGGAAACCCAACCCTCCCGTTAGCTGCATCTCACAGCAGCCTCAGTGCCACCGCTCTCCGTCAGGCGACACTGCTCCCCAGGTAGGTATGGCACTGTCTAGAGACATTTTTTGGTTGTCACACCTTGGGGGTTGCTATATGGCAGGTAACACAGTATAATCACAGGTGACCCCCAAGGTGGGCCTACCAGGACTCTGCCCATTGCCCAGGAGGGACCAGCCAAGACTTCTACGAAGATCCAGGTGGCCCCTGCCCCCATATGCCTCAGCCACACCCTCCCCAGGGGGACCTCCCCTCGCTGGTTGTCTGGGAGGCAGTGGCAAGAGGAAAAAGCCCTGTGCTCCTGGCCCACAACTCTGGACGCGTAGGGTAGGGGCAGCTGCACACTAGGACACCCGGAAGTGGCTGTCAGGATGCAATCCCCGCTTCCCTCCAGAACAGCTTGGGCCTAGAGGGAGGAGGGAAAATCGTCCCCGCTGCCCAGGCCAGCAGAGGTCACGGGTGGAAGAAACAGTGGCCTGGGACTGGCTGCAGCAGACCAGGCCAGGCTGGGCCTCACCTCCCGCTCCAGGTAGGACTTGAGCGATTCGGTCTCGTTGAGCAGGGTGACGCTGCACTTGCCCCTGGAAAAGAAGGACGGGCAGGCTGGAAGGGCGAGGACAGCCCGAGGGGCCCAGGGCGGGAGCTGCTGGGGGCTACCTGATGTGCGTGGCAGGCAGGGATTCCAGCTGCCGGGAGAGGAACAGCTCCCGATGCCGCAGCTGGTGCTTTAGTTTCTCGGGCAGGTCCACCATTTCCGGATTCTCCATTTCCTCTTCTATTTCCCCTGAAGGACAAGGAGCCCCTGTCAGCACCACGGCAGACGCACGCTGCCAGACCAAAGCCCACCCCACCGGCCCCACCCGGCGCCAGCACGCAGGAGGCCCCGTCCTGGCAGGTGCGCGTCCTCCTGCTGCTGGACACTGCCCCGCTGCCCCACCCCATGGCGGCCCAGCAACTCCTTGGCAGGTACCCCTGCAGACACTCTGGTGCCCATGTGCCCTTTAAGTCCAGGCACCCTGAAGGCCCAGATGCCCCAGGGCATGAAGATGGAAGGAGGAGGGAGAACAAGGTCTGGGCCAGCCCCAGAAGCAGCAGACAAAAGAGCAAAAGGAGCAGGGGAGCCGGCGGCTGCCAAGTGCCCAGGCAAGGAGGGCGAGGGGCAGCTGCCCTCTGTCCCTCCCCATCTCGTGACCAGACAGCCCCACACAGCCCACCACAGACCTCCCACACCAGCAGGTCACCCTCAGGCCGGGGCTGCACCAAGTCTGGGCTGTGGGCCGGACACAAGGGAGGGCCCCTCCTCAGCTGGGCCGGCCGGGCGCAGGGCGCAGGCATGCAGGCGGCCCGCCCAAACTCTGTCCCTCAGCGGCGCTGCCGCCCCCAGCCCAGGGACACAGACAGGAGGACGCCCTCCTTGCGGAGGCCGGCTCTTACCTTCCTCGCCGTTGTCCGCCCCCGGTCCGGCCTTATAGCAGACTGACAGGGCTATATAACAGACAGACAGCACCCGGCAGCACGGTCAGCGCAGAGCAGCGGCCTGCTCCCTGCCCAGGGCCCGGACCGAGGGCTGTGCCACCAGGGGGCAGGGCAGAACGGGGGCCACAGGCCTCCCGGTGGGGTGTGAAGACCACTCGGTTGAAGATCATCTGGGCCTCAACGTCCCCCCACTTCGGCCGCCACCCACCCAGTGCCAAGCCTCTTTGGGAAGAGCCCAGACAAGCCTGGCTGTGGAGGGCCCCTGTCCAGCGACCACCCCTGCTCTCACTCCATTGTGGCTTCCCAGAACAGGCTGTGCAGAAGAGGCCGGGGCTGGCCGTGGGCCAGCAGCATGGGCATTCCTGCCCTGTGCTAGGAACCCAAGTAGGGTTCTTATAACACCCAAAATGGGGGTGTGCGGTGGTGCTCCCCACCGTCCCCTTGCACACCCAGCACCGGCCGCCAGTGGGCCACTCATCCCGCTCAGCGTCCTGCCGGCTCTCTGAGCCCGAGGTCCCCAGACCGGACCACAGCCAGCCGGGTTGCTCGCTCTCTGCGGCCCCCTTGTGGTGCCTGCAGGAAGTCCTGGCTCCTTTGGGCACTCCCAGATTGAGGCTGGGAGCAGCCATGCTGGGCCTGTTCTGAGCGGGCCCTATCTGGGCCTCAGAAGCCTGGGGTGTCTGCCTGCTGAGCCTCACCTCCCGTCGGTCCATAGAACAGGGCAGGGCTAACCAGGATAGCCCCAGTCCCAGCATCCCAGGCCAACACACCTCACTCGCTCCCACTCCTGGGGCCCCACAAGCAAACTGCACCCTCAACTCAGAAATCCCCAGGGCCCAGAGGCCCACACACCATCCCAGACCAGAGGCTGGCGTTCGTTCACACCCGCCCTATGCCAGGCCCCGTCAGCGCACCGACCCAGCCTGGAGAGAAGCCCACAGCGACTCCGAGACTCCCATCTCACCGGTGCCCCGATCAGCAGAACAGGGCTGCGGGGTGCAGCCTGTCGGAGATGTGGGCGAAGTAGGCCTGCAGCTCCTCAGGAGGCCAACAGGCAGAAACACCCAGACGGGAGGCGCGGCTGCCAGTGCACCCTGCACCGCCCACACTCTGACCCTCCCTCGGACCCTGGCCAGTGCACCCTGCACCGCCCACACTCTGAGCCTCCCTCGGACCCTGGCCAGTGCACCCTGCACCGCCCACACTCTGAGCCTCCCTCGGACCCTGGCCAGTGCCCCCTGCACCGCCCACACTCTGACCCTCCCTCGGACCCTGGCCAGTGCACCCTGCACCGCCCACACTCTGAGCCTCCCTCGGACCCTGGATACACCCCTAAGCATGAGGCCTAGGGAATGGCAGCCCCAGGCTCAGGACGAGGCCCAGGCTGTGCCCTCACACCCACCCTAGGCTGTGGTCTCCAGGGCCCCCACACCTGCTCTGGGGGGCTCTGAGGAGGGACGTTCCCCTCTCCCTGTCGTTCTGTCTGTAAAAGGCTTCACGCTCACAGCCTGCCGGGGTGAGGTCTTCTCTGCCGCAGGGGCCGCGGTGCAGCCTGGCCGGTGTCTACCCTCCACCCTGAGGCCTGCACTGTGGGCTGGACGCCCCAGCAGGGACTGGGAGGAGGCAGTGACGTGGAAGAGCCAGAGGCCTCCCGGAGTGTCCTCACACCTGTCCCTGGGATCAGCTGGGGCCTCACCCGGGCTGCCATGAGCTCACAGAGCGAGCAGGAGAAACGCACAGATGTACACAACCCCGGGGATGTGGGCCCTGCAGAATCACCGCAAGGCCCAGTCACCAGGCAAGAGTGGGGCTGCGCTCCGAGCCCCTGGACCAGCGGCAGACCCGTCACCCATGATGCCTGCTCCCTGCAGCTGGGCTGTCAGTTCACAGGAACGCCCTGCAGAGGGGCCGCCATGCAGCTTTCCAGGGAGCACCGTCCAAAGGGGCTGGGCTGGGCACCTGGGGGGGCACTGCTGCTCCCTGCCCAGTCCCACCAGCCCCGACGAGGCCCTTCTGGAAAACCCGCCCTCTGATACCTCTAATCACATTATGTCTGGAGACCCCTTCTGGGGCCCTCCTAGCAAAAGGCCATCTTCTGGGGTGTCTGAGAGCAGAACCTCAGGAAAGGGGGACACCGTACCCTAAAAAACCACTGATACAGACTCTCTGGAGCAGGGACACTGTGCTCCCAGGTGCCAGAGGACAGAGACAGGATGCGCCCTGGGCCAGCCATAAACATGCCCAACTCAACGGTGGCACCTGACTCCCCAGGCCACACAGACTGGCAGGGCCACACTGCGGCCACTTAGCCTGGGCACTGCTTCTCCAGCGCCAGCCCGCTCCCCACCACTGCTTCTCCAGCGCCAGCCCGCTCAGCCTGGGCACTGCTTCTCCAGCGCCAGCCCGCTCAGCCTGGGCACTGCTTCTCCATCACCAGCCCACTTCCCACCACTGCTTCTCCAGCGCCAGCTCGCTCAGCCTGGGCACTGCTTCTCCAGTGCCAGCCTGCTCACTGCTTCTCCAGCGCCAGCCCGCTCAGCCTGGGCACTGCTTCTCCAGCGCCAGCCCGCTCCCCACCACTGCTTCTCCAGCGCCAGCCCACTCAGCCTGGGCACTGCTTCTCCAGTGCCAGCCCATTCAGCCTGGGCACTGCTTCTCCAGCACCAGCTCGCTCAGCCTGGGCACTGCTTCTCCATCACCAGCCCACTTCCCACCACTGCTTCTCCAGCGCCAGCCCGCTCCCCACCACTGCTTCTCCCACTCCCTGCAGAGTTGACACAGGTCAGTCCCCGACACCAAGAACCACCAGCCGTGCTGCTGGCTGGCGTTCAGCACCTGCAGGGCCAAGGGCCGCACCAAACGCCCCTCCAGAATGTGCAGCCTGTGGACTTTCAACATCCCCAGCTCTCTTCCTTGGTGCCTGGAGCGCGCACCAGTGGAGTACACAGGCTTTGAGGTCAGAGGTCAAGGGTCACCATGCCCCACCTTGAATGCTCCCCTCCTCTGAGCAGAGAGCTAGGAGGTTCCTGTTCCTCACGAAGCCAGAGGAAGCCCATGGTCAACTGGCAGCTCCCTTTGGGCCACCACAGGCCCCATAGCCCGGTGTCCAGAGTGGACCCAGGGGCCCAGCCCAGCTGCACTGCCCCAGGGCAGCTCACGTCCGCATCCACTGGGTGCCGAGGAAAGGCTGCAGCTGTCCAGTGGGCAAGGCAGTGGGGTTAAGGGACCCTTCCTTCCACGAGCACTGCCCTGGCGGACTCCCAGCAGAGGCTCAGGAACAAGACACTGGTGGCAGGATGGTCTGTCCTGCCCCTAAGCCCCTCCCAGGGCAGGGGGAGGTTGCCTGGGCTGGCTTCCTGCCCTCACCCACAGCACTGGGACAGGGGCAGAAGATGTCAGGGTCCTCCCACCTGACCCACTGCCAATCACAGTCCCTGGACCTCACCCCATTAGGGGTCATAGGAGGCTACAGGTGGGACCTTGGCCCACCCCAGCAACACAGGTACTCGGGCAGTCACATGCCTCACCTACTGGGAAATGTCACCCTACAGACCACAGCCTCAGCCTGGGCTCAAATCCCACCTCAGCTGATGTATCAGAGCGGAAGCCAGTAACAGCCCTCGCGCCTGCCCCCACCGACATGAGAGGCCTCAGTGGGGGCACCACAGTGTCTGGTGCAGGTGGGCCCAGCCCGGCAGGCCCTGTGTCAGTAGCGTGTGGAGGGCGTGGGGGTGCCTCTGGCTCCTGGCTCTGAAGTCGACGTCCCCCGGTGCGGGAGACTCCATCACCTGTGAGTACCTGTTCCCAGGGGAGGAGCTGGGCCCCCAAGGCTGAGGGCATTCCCATGCAGCCAGTGGCTTCCTCCCACACACTGTGCTGGCCACAGCAGCCCCTTCCAGCCAGTTTACTGAATTTGAGTTTGAATTGTAAAGAATAAGGAGAGGACTGCTTTCCTGAAAACACTACTCAGAATGCCAACAGAAGCCTCTTCACAAAATTAAAAGGCGAGAGACAGTGGCAGGTGTGGGCAGCAGGGTCCCACCAGCCTGAAAAGTCTCCAGAAGTCATCGTAAAAGAAAAAAAGAAGCCTCAACCAACCAATGATGCCCACACCCAGCCACACCCCGTGACAAGCTCACAGAGGATGCCAGTGAGAGGCACACCGCTCCGGAGGGGCCTGTGAGGAGTTCATTCGCCCAGCCTCCGAGGAAACGGAGCCAGGACACCCCCACCCACCGTGGAAGGGAGAGAAAGAGAGGCCAGAGCGAGTTGGGCAGAGGGTGGCCCCACGAGGCCAGGACCCCGAGGATGGACCCTAGGGAAGAAGGACCCCGCCAGCCCTCCCCGGCGGACCCTCCCGCCAGGCGGCCACCCCGGGGAAGGCCGGACTCACTTGCGTGCTTGTCGGCCAGGGCGATGAGGGTGCTGGAGATGTCCCGCCTCCGGTAGAAGCACACCACCTTGGCCTCCACGTTCCCATTGGCCGTCTGTAACAGCAAGGCAGGGGCGTCTGAGAAACGCGACCAAACCCGGGCTGCACAGCTCCCAGGAGGGGCTCCAAGGCCGGCCCCTGCCGTCCCAGGACTGCGGGTGTCACCACACTACCCCTCAGGACTCCAGGAGGGCACTTCACAAATGCAGCAAATCCTGCAGCTCTGGACGCCATGGGTCTATCCCGGGGGAGAAGGTGGGCGTGCGCACCCAACTTCAACCTGTGTCTCCATCCTCCCTCCCTTCCAGAGCCCAGTGTACCACCTGAGAACACCAGGGTCCCAATGAGGAAAAGGCCCCGCCACACTGGACAGGACCTCAGTCAGCTCCCGGGAGCCCATGCCCAGCTATTCCAGTCCCTCTCGGGTGAGCTGTGCAGCAGCCACAGCCCGAGCAGCCGACGCAGCGTGGACCCCCGTGTGGGACCAGCCCTCCCATCACCCTCCTGGAGCAGCCACAGGCGCCCCCACCTGGCCTGGCTGACTGCTGTAAAACGCCCCCGCAGAGGAAGGTATGTTTTTGGAACGAGCTTTTATAACATCTTTGTGACCTCAAGAATTGTGCTGTGATTCTAACCACGGTACAAGTGCCTCATGGACTACCATTCATAACTTTTTTTTTTTTTGAGATGGGGTCTCACTCTGTCACCCAGGCTGGAGTGCAGTGGCGCGATCTTGGCTCACTGCAACCTCTGCCTCCTGGGTTCAAGGGATTCTCCTGCCTCAGCCTCTCGAGTAGCTGAGATTACAAGCATGAGCCACCACGTCCAGCTAATTTTTGTATTTTTAGTAGAGACGGGATTTTGCCATGTTGGCCAGGCTGTCTGGAACCCGTGACCTCAAGCCATCTGCCTGCCTTAGCCCCACAAAGTGCTGGGATTACAGGTGTGCCACAGCGCCCAGTCTCACATAACTTTTCAATTTTTTGAGATAGGGTCTCACTCTGTTGCCCAGACTAGAGTGCAGCGGTGTGATTTCAGGTCACTGCAGCCTCCACCTCCTGGGACTACAATCCAATTACACCATGCCAGGCTTTTTTTTTTTTTTGAAACGGAGTCTCGCTCTGTCGCTCAGGCTGGAGTGCAGTGGTACAATCTCGGCTCACTGCAAGCTCCGCCTCCCGGGTTCACACCATTCTCCTGCCTCAGCCTCCTGAAGTACCAGGGACTACAGGCGCCCGCCACCGCACCTGGCTAATTTTTGTATTTTAAATAGAGACGGGGTTTTACCGTGTTGGCCAGGATGGTCTCGATCTCCTGACCTCATGATCCACCCACCTCGGCCTCCCAGTGTGCTGGGATTACAGCATCTGGTTAATTTTTTAAAAACATTTTGTAGAGACGAGGTTTCACCATGTTGCCCAGGCTGGTCTCGATCTCCTGGGAGTGAACCACCGCACCCAGCCCATTTATAGCATTAAACCAAATTAACTCTAAGAGAAGTGGCCAGGCACTTTTCTCACCACTGCACTCCAGTCTGGACAACAGAGTGAGACTCCGTCTCAAAAAAAATAAAAATAAAAAAAATAACCAGATGCAGTGGTGCGCGCCTGTAGTCCCAGCTACTTGGGAAGCTGAGGTGAGAGGGTCACTTGAGCCCGGGAGGTCAAGGCTGCAGTGAGTTGAGATTGTGCCACTGCACTCTAGCCTGAGCAAGACCTTGTTTCAAAAAAACAACAACAAAAAGAAAGAATAAAGAGAAAAGTGCTCAGCTGCTCTGCACAGCCTGCCCGGAAGCAGGGCGTTCTCGACGGTGGAATTCCTCTGCTTGGGACGTGCATCTCCTCTCCCCTTCAGATCTGCATCTGCTCACTACAGTGGTGTGAACCCAGGACCGCCATGCTCTGCTTCAAGTCACAATCCAGCGTGGCCTGACCCCTCCTGCAGGTCACGCTGTCCCTACTCTGGCCGCTGGGTTCTCGCTCTATTGGCTCCTGTGTCCCTGACATACTCCACCACAGGTTACATCCACATTTCATCACAGTGACACACACAGACCATCCAGTGTCACATAGCAAGCCATGAAGACTGCAAGGACACACAACCGCAGCCGCCCCATCTGGGCAGCCGGGACCGTGGGGCCAGGCTCTTCCGCAGTCAGGTTCCCACCAGCTCGGAGCCTCAGGCCAGGCCTCCCTTCCCACACATGCACCCCACTCTCCAGGATCACTGTGTGGACTCAGTCACGCTCGGGGTCTGTTCCGTCGTGTTCCTGCACACGGTGGATTCAGTCACGCTCGGGGTCTGTTCCGTCGTGTTCCTGCACACGGTGGATTCAGTCACGCTCGGGGTCTGTTCCGTCGTGTTCCTGCACACGGTGGATTCAGTCACGTTCGGGGTCTGTTCCGTCGTGTTCCTGCACACGGTGGATTCAGTCACGCTCGGGGTCTGTTCTGAGGCACTCCTGCACACACAGGTAAAGGTGGTGAGGCCGCACTAGGCCATTCTTTCTTTTGTCCCTTTGAACAGCTTTGCTTCCCGAGGTTAACAATCGTCTCGTTTTCTCCACTTGCCTAGTTTTTCATGGAATCATCGCTGATTCTTCCCTAAAGTGCTCGGCAGCAGAGCTCCTGAAGGGAAAGGGCTCAATCAGGGCGCCCGGGAGACCCCTCCCAGAGCTGGCGTCCACCCTGCTTGCTACCCGCACCGGGGACTGCGTCCTCCTGGGCGGGAGGAAGGTGCGCCTTCCTCGTGGTGGAAAGGCGTGGAGGGGTGCACTCCGAGGCCTCAGTCGGGAAACCTCACTCATCTGCCTTCCTGGAGATGGGGCTTGGCTGGGCCTGGAGCCTCCACACCCGAACGTGGCTGCCGAAAGGCAAAGTGGGGTTTGACTCCAGGCCTTTGTATGTGACCCGCTTTTCCTCTAAACGCATTTCTTCTCCCATGTTCTAACAGTTTAAATACACCTTGAAGGGGCCCCTCTTTATTTCTGTGTTCACTCCTTCTTCTCTGCTATTAACTGGACATTGGACCAATGGACTGATTGTCTGATTTTTTTTCTCTCCTAGTTTCTTTGTTTTTGCCCCATCTTCTGGGTGGTAACCTCAACTTTATCACCTGGTCCTTTCATTCCACTTGTTACTTCTCCTAACCCAAGTGTCAAGAGCTTTCCTCTCATCTGACCACATCCCAGGACGGATCCCTTCCCTTTCTCTGAGAACATTCACGGGCTTTGTTTCGCTTTAGTTTCCTTCTGTTCTCTGCACTGGCCCTTCCTCTGAGTTCCATTTTTTTCTTTTTTTTTTTTTTTTGAGACGGAGTCTGGCTCGGTCGCCCAGGCTTGGAGTGCAGTGGCCGGATCTCAGCTCACTGCAAGCGCCGCCTCCCGGGTTCACGCCATTCTCCTGCCTCAGTCTCCCGAGTAGCTGGGACTACAGGCGCCGCCACCGCGCCCGGCTAGTTTTGTGTATTTTTAGTAGATGGAGTTTCACCGAGTTAGCCAGGCTGGTCTCGATCTCCTGACCCCGCGGTCCGCCCGCCTCGGCCTCCCAGTGCTGGGGTTACCGGCTGAGCCCCCAGCGCCCAGCCTCCCCGTGCTGGGATTACCGGCTGAGGCCCAGTGCCCGGCCCTGAGTTCCTGACCCCGCGGTCCGCCCGCCTCGGCCTCCCAATGCTGGGGTTACCGGCTGAGCCTTGCGCCCGGCCCTGAGTTCCACTTTCACGTTGCCGACTGATCTTCATGTCAAAAGCCCTCCCCAACCATCTTGTGACTTTTGGTCACCAGGAGCCTCCCAGGTGCTGGACAGCTCACTGCATGTGCTGCACCCACGGGCGCTGGGGTAGCAGGCATCCTGCTGGGTCCCCGATGCCAGCAGCTGGGTCTGTGGGCTTTAGAAGTCTGGCCGCTGGGGTCCTGGGAGCCAAGGAGGCAAGAGGGACACGGGGGCCCACCAGGGGACAGCCCATGAGCCAGGTGACCCCCACTTGCAGCCCCCGCATGAACCGTGCTGGCCTGGGCCTAGTGCCCCAAATCTGGGTCCTCTGAGTCCACTGCTCCAGCCCAGGGAAGGGTTCTGCAGGTTCACCTGACCCCCAGACGGGTTGTCCACCTGTCTTCCGCACTGCCAGCCGCACATCAGCATGGTTCCTGTTCTCCCGACCCTGACCCAGGCCAGGGCCGGGGCCTCTCAGGTTGCCCAATCCGGCTGGCTGCCTTCTGAGCTGCGCCCACACCTCCCAGTGGCGCCTCCTCTCCCACCTTCCTTGCCCTGTGGGTGCAGAGCTCCAGCACCCCTTTCTTGTTATTTGAGGGGGCGTTCAGGCCAGAGAACAGAGGGGAGGCCTGCACTCAACCAGCTGCGCCCACCTGGAAGCCCCACCTGGAGCTCCTTGGTGTGGAGGGCACTGGCCACGCTGTGTCGCAGGCCCACAGGTTCCTTTCCACATGGTGAGCGTCTGGGTCGGTTGCCCTGCCTGAACTGTCTGAGACAGTAGTCATGCCCCTCACAGGCTGGTGTCCTACCCAGAGACAGACAAGTGTCCAGGCCATGTGGCCCTGGCCCTGAGGAGGAGGGAGTGCTAGGACGAAGGGGACAGCTCTGAGCGTGCGCAATGCTACATCTGTACCTGAACATCGCCAAAGGGCCGGAAGCCAGCCCCCACCTGCACACGCCTGCAGTCTACTGTCTGCACGTGGAAGCCAGAAGCAGCACGAGGGAACCTTCCCAACAGTGGCACCTCTCAGCAGTGGCACCTCCCAGCAGTGGCACTCGGCCAGGCGCCCATGGAGGCACTGCAGCCTCCCGCCCCAGGCTGCCTGCCAGCTGGCTGTGTGGAGCCACCAGCGCCGTCTGCCAGCCGCCCCTCCACTACACGGACCAGGAGGGACCCAGGGCCTCCCCAAGCCATGGTTCAACTCAGCTGAGGAACCTCCCTCCGCACCTCAGTTTCCCTACAGTCCGCATGCTGTGATGTGTAAGGTGCAGCCCCACAATCGGGAGGCCCAGCCACAGCAGCAGCACCCGTTCCAGCCCCACACTCGGGAGGCTCAGTTCACAGGAGCAGCGCCCGTTCCAGCCCCACACTCGGGAGGCTCAGTCCACAGCAGCAGCAACCGTTCCAGCCCCACACTCGGGAGGCTCAGTTCACAGGAGCAGCACCCGTTCCAGCCGTACCCAGAGTCCAAGTGGCCTTGCTCTGCAGGCGGGCAGGCCCTGCCCAGCAGGGGCAGTGAGACGGACTCAGAGGACACCTGGATCATTGCCCGTGCCTCCAACAAACAGGCCTGCTCCTCAGACCTCCCAGGAAGCTGCAAGGGAGCAGACGTCACACCCCACGCTCCTCGGCCCCAGGTGGTGGCAGATGCCACAGGGAATGGCCCTTGACAAGCACAGCCAGGGAAGCCCAGAGCCCAGCATGGCTACGTCAGAGGTGGCGTGCTAACCTTCCCCACCCTGTCCCCTCTGATTCCAAGAATCCCACATCACCGCTGCCACCAAGCCTGATGTCCAGGAAGGCAGCTTCTCACAGGTAAGCCTGCAGCATGCAGCACGGAACACCAAGGGCCCGGGTGCCCCAGGCCTGTGGAGTGGGCGGGGCTCCTAGAAGGCAGCCATCAGGCCACTGGCTCCAGGGGTTCGGGGGCTCGGGAGCCCTGCAGGCAGGCACAGAGAGGTCTATGAAGCACCGAGCAGCTCACCCCACTCTCTGCTGGAACCATGTGTCCACTGGTGGGGACGACCTGCCCTCCCTCAACACCCTTAGAAAGTCTCCAACCAGGAGGAGAAGGGAGGCTGGGGTACCCACCCACCATCCCTGAGGACAGCGAGAAGGCTCCCAGGTTGTGCGGGTGCCCTGCACCTCCACAGCCATCTGCAGCTCTGTCTCCCAAGCTGACGGGACGGAGGCTGTGCCAAGGCGGTGGAGGCCGGGAGTGGCTGGGGCTGAGGGGCCCATGTGTCACCACCCCCCAGGAAGGATCTGGTGCCGCCAGGCTCAATGCATGGGCACAACCACGTCCCCGATCAAACAAGCATCTGCCAAGGACTCATGGCAGACACGAACCAGGTGGGAGCAAGGGCTGCCTGAGTGACCAGGGAGGGTGCCTCCAGCCACGCAGACACCTCAGGGGTAAGGGCAGAGCTCATAGCCCTGCAGGGCTGGCTGCTGGGAGCTGGGCAGGGCAGGGGCACCGAGTGTGGCTTCCTGCAGCCTTTGGTTGGTTTCAGAATCATGCCATTCTGCTCAGGCTCCCCAGGGGACGCTGACATCTTCAGGGGACCCAGCGCCCACAGACCAAGTGTGGAGTGGGCAGGCAGCTCAGGGCAGCCACGCTGGGTCCTGCACGAGGCCAGCAGGCCCCTCACTCAGTTTCTCCAAGGGGGGGCCAGGGTGCAGGTGACAATGGACGGAGTCACTGAAGGGCCTGCACAGTGGCCAGTCCAAGGTCAGCCCCAAAAGGGGGCCACCCACACTGGCCACCCACAGGGCAGGAGCTGGTGTAGCCCCCACCCACTACCCCCTGCAGCCACGCCAGGGCCACCCAGTACCTTGTTGAGCTCCTCAATCCTCCGGATCAGGTATGGGTTGCTGGAGGAGTTCTCGAAGTAGACGTAGTCTGCAAACAGCAACAGAGAGAGCAGAGGGTCACCTGTGGTACCAAAGGCCAGACCCAGGCCCACGTCCCGCTGCCCAGAGACCCGGGGCTCAGGTGGGGCAGTGTCACCACCCCCACCTCTGCTCTCTCAGGCAAGGAACAAACAGAGGAAGCGAAGCCCCCACACCATCAGGGAGGGGTGGCGGCAACCAGAATGGACTGACAGGCTGGGTCAGGGCCAGGGAGATGCACCAGGAGGGGCCATTCCCAGCAGAAGCCAGCAGCCCCCATCCTGGATCCTCACAGACGCCAGCCGCCCCCAAAGGCTCAGGCCCTTCTTGGGGAAGCTGTGGGGGCCAGGTGGCAGCTTCCCAGGCGAAGCCCAGCTCCAGCACTGCCCAGACCCTGCCGGGAGCCCCGGGACACCTTCCCACTGGCAGCAGCCAGCCTGGATGCTACACCCTCAGAGCCACATGGCCACCACCACCCTGCCCACAGCGGTCCCCATCTTTCCCTCCAAAACACAGCAGCGACTACACAGAGAACACAGCTGGGGCTTCCTGGGCCCAGGCAGGCTCAGAAATGGGGCAGAGTTGCTCCAGGAATGACAGGGTCACCCTCACTAGAGCTCAGAGACAGCAACAGGCAGCAGGCACTGGGAGTGCCCCGAGACTGGCCATCAGGTGAGTACAACACTTCCCTCAGCGACGACACCATGGGGCCCTCCAGCCTTCTCACCAGCTCCACACGCAGAGAGCCACTGAATCTTCCGGAGCCCAGAGGCTTACTCTGGAAGGCCCAGGGAAGTCTAGGCTGGTGGTGCTGACACCCCGATGCTCCAGGCCTCCTGGGGCCGCTGCAGGGGCTCAGCTTGGGAGGCAGCGAGACCACATCCTCATGAACCAGCACCACGAGTACCCTCGCCAGCCCACCCTGCACCAGCTCTGCAGGGAGGACTGAGCAGGAGGCCTGTCTCAGCTGGAATCACCCCAGAGGCCCACACAGGCCTGGGATTCAGCAACATGCAGCAAGACCAGCACCAAAAAAGCCCAGCCTATCTGTCCACATGGAGGCCAAACCTGTGCTGCGAGGACCCTGTGGAGGGGCCTGGAGAGTATCTCCCTCCTGCTGCTGGCACACACCTGCAGGCTCATGCCCGTGAGGACACACCCGTGAGGACGCACCTGCAGGCACACACCTGTCAGGACACACTCATGGGTGCACACCCGTGACACACCCATCAGGACACACCTGCAGGCACACACCCGTGAGGACACACCTGTGGGTGCCCACCTGCGAGGATGCACCTGTGTGGGCACCCATGTGCAAAGTCACGCCTGTGCGTGTGGCTTCTGAGCCCCGCGTGCTGCCTGAGTAAACCAGCTCATCAGATGAGGCCACGCCCACACAGAGCTCCACCGGACAATGGGCTAGGAGCATGGAGAGTCCAGAGGGACACAGCCTTGGTGCCCGGGGACACACAGAGCAGTGAGCGTTCCCTGCAGAAAAGCCTGCAGAAGTGGCAGGAGGCCTGCAAATCTGTGTCAGGGTTAGAGTGTTCTGAATGCAGGACGTGGCCATGCTTGGGCAATGCTGTGAAAACTCTAGAATTAACTGAATCACATACTCAGAATTGGTGGATTTCTTTCTCTCTCTCTTTTTTTTTTTTTTAATTTTGAGACAGAGTCTCGCTCTGTCGCCCAGGCTGGAGTGCAATGGCTCGATCTCGGCTCACTGCAAGCTCCGCCTCCCAGGTTCACGCCATTCTCCTGCCTCAGCCTCCCGAGTAGCTGGGACTACAGGTGCCAGCCACCACGCCCGGCTAATTTTTTATATTTTTAGTAGAGACGCGGTTTCACCGTGTTAGCCAGGATGGTCTTGATCTCCTGACCTCATGATCTGCCCGCCTCGGCCTCCCAAAGTGCTGGGATTATAGGCGTGAGCCACCGTGCCCGGCTAAAATTGGCAGATTTCATCACATGTAGATACCTCAAACTTTTTTTCAAAAAAGGTCTCAAATCAATGGTCTAACTTTTCACTCCAAGAAACCAGATAAATAAATTAAATCCAAAACAATGCACCAAACTTGCCAAAAACTGGGGGGAAAATGTCCCTTAAGTGAGGAAAGACAGACAAGGTGGGGTCCGTCCACTTGATGGAAGACTCCTTGGCCGGGGCCAGGAGTGAAGCCCCCTGGCAGCACAGGGCCTGCAGCACCGGAAGGCCCACTCGGGGGAGGTGGCGGGCACGACGGCTGCGTGCAGTGGGGCCACCTACAAGCTGCTGGCGCAGGAAAACCAAGGCGTGGAAGATGAAAGAACAGGGAATTCGGGAACTGTTCTGTATCATGACTATGGTACAACGACATGACTATGGACTTCCAAAATTCACAGAACTGTACACGTAAAAGGAATTGTACTGAATGTAAATTATGCTTTAATAAACGGACAAATAAAGCAAGAAGGCAGGAAATGATAGAGTAAAAATAATGTGAAACAAAAATAGTAGAGGGGAAAATATCAAAGGAACCAAAAGCTGGGTGTTTATTTGAGACGGAGTTTCGTTCCTGTTGCCCAGGCTGGAGTGCAATGGCGTGATCTCAGCTCACTGCAAACTCTGCGCCTCCTGGGTTCAAGTGATTCTTCTGCCTCAACCTCCCGAGTAGCTAGGATTACAGGAGCCCACCACCACGTCCAGTTAATTTTTGTATTTTTAGTAGAGGCCAGGTTTCACCATGTTGGCCAGGCTGGTCTCAAACTCCCGACCTCAGGTGATCCACCTGCCTCAGTCTCCCAAAGTGCTGGGATTGTAGGCATGAGCCACCACACCCAGCCTACAAGCTGGTTATTAACAAGATCAATAACTGAAATCTATAGCCAGACTGACAAAGAAACAAAGAGAGAAGCCACAAGTACCAACATCAGGAACGACAGATGGGATATCACTGCAGATCCTACTGACACAAGAAGGGGTATAAGGAATATTATGGAGGACTTTATGCCAGAGAATTTGACAACTTAAATGGAATGAACCAATTGCTTGAAAGATATAAACACCAAAGCTCATTCAAGAAGAAACAGGTAACCCTATTCACACTACAGAAATACAACAACAAAAACCCTAGGCCCAGATGGCTTCATTGGTGAAGTCTATCAAACATTTAAGGAAAAATTAACACCAATTCTACGCAACTCTTCCAGAAAACAGAAAAGGACAGTGTGGACACCATTCCCCGATACCAAAACCAAAGTCACACAAGGAATCAGGAGGATCACTTGAGTCCAGGAGTTTCAGACCCCATCTCTAAAAACAAATGATTTTTGATTAGGCAGGTGTGGTAGCATGTGCCTGTAGTCCCAGCTGCTTGGGGGCTAAAGCAGAAGGATTGCTTAAGCCCAGGAGTTTGGGGCTGCAGTGAGCCATGATGGTACCACTCACTCAAGCCTGGGTGACAGAGTGAGACCCCATCTGTAAATGTAACTTAAATTTTAAAAAAAATTGAACAATCAGTGTAGCTCATCATATTCACAGATTAAGTAAGAAAAACCCTATCACTATCTCCGTAGATGCAAGAGTATAATCTGAAAAAACTCAACACATACTCTATTAAACTCTGAGCAAACAAGGAACTAAAGGGCACTTCCTCAGCCTGGTAAGACATTTACAAAAAACCTACTGCTAGCATCATTCTCAGCGGTGAGAAAAGGGCTGCTTCTGCTGGGATCAGGGATTGTGGCAGGGGTATACCTACTCTCATCGCCACTGCCTCCCACGGCCACCGCCTCCCACGGCCACTGCCTCCCACCGCCACCGCCTCCCACCGCCACCGCCTCCCACGGCCACCGCCTCCCACCGCCACCGCCTCCCACCGCCACCGCCTCCCATCGCTACTGCGGACCATCAAGGAAGTCCCAGCCAGGACAATGAGAAGAATCAATGAAAGGCACACAGACTGGATATGAAGACACAAAACTTTCTATATGCAGATGATGTGACTTGCTATACAGAAATCCCCAGTGTCTACGAAAAAGCTATGGAAACCGCTGAGGAAGAGTTTTGCAAGGTCACAGGTCAACATCAAAAGCTAAGTCCTCTTTTGGGCCAGGCATGGTGGCTCACACCTGTAATCCCAGCACTTTGGGAGGCTGAGGCAGACGGATGACTTGAGGTTGGGAGTTGGAGATCAGCCTGACCAACATGGAGCTACCCCATCTCCACTAAAAATACAAAAAACATTAGCTGGATGTGGTGGTGCATGCCTGTCATCCCAGCTACTCAGGAGGCTGAGGCAGGAGAATGGCTTGAACCCGGGAGGTGGAAGCTGTGGTGAGCCGAGATCACGCCATTGCACTCCAGTCTGGGCAATGGTGAAATTCTGTCTTTAAAAAAAAAAAAAGTCCTCTTTCTATGTACTACTGACAAACAGAAATCAAAATTGTAAAAGTACTATTCACAAGAGCACCAAGAAAAATTAAATGCTTAAATATAAATTTTACAGAAAATCTACAGATGTTTAAAGATCAAAAGATCTGTGCAAAGATCTATATGCTGAAAAGTACAAAACACTGGTGAGAAAAATCAGCAAAAGATCTAAATAAATGGTAACAGATGAGACGTCAAGGGTTAAAATACGTGTTGGTGAGCTTCCTATAAAGGTTGGGATAGTAAATACTCCACGCTATGCAGGCCAAGAGGCCACACCAAGGATATTACGTAAGGACTAATATAACAATTTCCACATATTTTATACTGATGAAATTAAAATAACCGGGCCAGGTGTGGTGGCTCACACCTGTAATCCCAGCACTTTGGGAGGCGGGCAGATCACGTCAGGAGATCGAGACCATCCTAGCCAACATGGTGAAACCCTGTCTCTACTAAAATACAAAAAATTAGCCAGGTGTAGTGGTGCACGCCTATAGTCCCAGCTACGTGGGAGGCTGAGGCGGGGGAATCACTTGAACCTGGGAGGCGGAGCTTGCGGTGAGCCGAGATCATGCCACTGCACTCCAGTCTGGTGA